ATTAATTTTTTAATTACAACAAAATATTAAAAGTGATTAAGAATAAATTATTATTAAATGGTAATAAACGTAAATATTTTAACTTCAAACGCTCATAAAGAAGTAATGACACAATAACTGATCATATTCATCAAAATCTTAACATTGGGTAAATTAATATAAGTTAAATTATGTTTAAAAAATAAATTAATTAATGTAGAGCTAAGCAATTTAAGGTTTTTATGATTTAAAAACACACGGCTATCGTAACTGAGAGTAAATAAATAATAATACAAAAAAATAAGTTATGTAACTTTTCGGTGAATTAATTTTTGTATTAAATTAGAAAACATTTTGAAGAATCTTGTATTAAATGTTCTAATCATATATAAAAATAAAAAAAATGTATATAAATACAAAATATTTTGCAAATTTTTGCGATTTTAATACATTTTGTCATAATTAATACTTGTAAAAATATATTGTGAACACGTTTTTTGATATAACATTGCTAAACTTTTTGACAAAAAAATAAATATTGTTTATTGACATTTATTTCAACTATTATTGTAAATAAAAATTATATCAACATATTTTTTTAACTTTGAGAATTGTACTGTTAAATTATTACAATTATGATTCTCTTTCTAGAAAACCATAAACTTCTCATCATAGTGATCAAAATATACATTTTCAAGTTTATTCTATTAAATAAATTATGGTGGTATAATTTTTTGTGGACAGTGTAAAAATGTGTTATATATAAAAGTAAGTGAATATGGTTTATAAAGTAATTCTATTACGCTTCATAATAATAGTTCAATTATTATATAATGTAATCTGACTATAATAAATATTATTTTATTATTAATATTAATGACCTTGATCACTATTTCAAACCATATAACTAAACTTTTCATTTAGGATATCTTATATTTTAAATATTATATAATATCGACCTCCAGACATAATTTTTATTTTCAATGCCTGTAAAGGTTAAATAAAACGTTGTTATTTAGGCCTCGATTAAATTCAAGTTAATATGCATTGTTATAAATTAACTAGTTGTTCTAGTTATATAAAATGAATTTGTAAATTGAAATCAGTGCTACTGTAGTGACTTATAAATATTGTATTCTGTCAATATTTCGAAAAAAATATTAAAATATACTTGAGACGGTTTTTAATTATTTAACTGAATTATAAAATATGTTATTAATACGTATTATATCTTGTTAATTCAAATATTTGACGTAAAAACAATAATATTAATAATTAATACTTGATATGTTATGTAATAGATTGAAAATAATACAATGCTATTTAACATGCCAATAGCATAGAATTTTATTCAAGATGATAAATTATAATAGCTAAGAATCAAAATACTTTATATCTTCTTTAATCTTAAATTATTAAAATATTTTTATTTTTTTGGAAATTAATGAAATAATTTTAAATTTATTTTAATAAATCTAATGTTATATTCTGTATAGCTGATTAACTGCAGATTCATAAAAGTGAGATATTAAATCGATTTTAAAAGGATCTACATTTATCATTGTATATTATGTTCAATACTGTTCAACACAATAATTTAGTTATTTACATAAAACTAATTACTATACTAGGATAAATATGTATCTAGTATCTTGTATTTAAATATTTTTTCAAAGAATTTTGCTTAAACCTGATCAAAATGATAACTAATGACTTGTTAAGATTAAATAATGCTATTTACTATAGTAGAAAGTTAATTTAGAACTGTTCAAAGGATTAAGATTAGCGGGCTACTATAAAATTTATTTTACATAATTAAACACAATTTATAAACAATATTTATTTTATTTCAAGAAGTACCTAGTCAGAACAAGTGAGTGGACATACTAACTATTGATGAACAATACAATTTAGATTAAAAATAAAACTCGATATAATGCTGATAATAGTAATGTAAAAGTGGATTGATTCTATTACGTTGAGTTAATTTAAATAGGATTTGATACATTTAAAATAATTGAATAGTGTATGAGAAATTATAACCGTGGGTGAACGATCTAGAGTCATAATATCAAGTAATAGGATGATCCGTTCAACATTAGACATCCACAATGTCTGAAAAAATTAAAAATATTTATCTTGAATTTATGTTGTAACAAAAAAAAAATTTTTTTTGAAAAAAAAATATATTTTTACAATTTGTTATAATGGTAATTTTTTTTTAGTTACATATTACGAAACAAAATATTATTCGAAGTATTTCGATCTATAAAAATCAAATTTCGAACGAGTAATTATAAACATTTAAAGTAAGTGATGAGCGGAGTAATGTACCAACATTTTTTGTAATACCCTTGTACACTCAACTACTCATTTAAACATTAAAAACATATAACTCCTAAATTGTCTATCGAAAATTCTATTTTCAAAGATCGAAGAATTCGAAAAAATATTTTTTTTTGAGTGAGGAATTAAAAATGCAATTTTTCGCTAAAAAGTTTTAAAAAAAATGTGTTATGACATTAATTATTAAAATATAGATTTTAAAAATGTAATATTTTAATAACTAAATAATATTATTTTAAAAAAATTCAAATTTTTAAAAATAATAACTGTTAGTCAAACGTATCATACATTGTATACATTTTTAATCAACATTTTTACTGCTCCGATTATTTTTTAAGTTCGCTGTAATTTAATATTCTAAAAGTCATATTATGTTAATTTATATAATTCCGGTTTAAAAGAAAAAAAAAACTAAATACAATACAGGTTTTGCGAAAGTTTTGCTATTATGTAATTGTTTTCACTTTGTTATTAAACAAAACAATTATAATTAATATAAATCATATATCAACGTTTTAAAATTTCAAGAAATATGTTAAACTAAATTTTTATTTTAGGATTGAGTACATTTTAGTTAGATTAAATCTTTCAATTAAAATTAGAAATTTAAGAAAATGATTGATATTGGTATTAATAATAAAACCTTAAGTTTATATAATTATTATTGATTATATTATAGCCTTACAAACTGTACAATATGTACTGTTGTCATACGTGCTTAAGTTACTTTCAACTATAAATTAACTTTTTTTTTACTATTTGATTACAAAAAAATATAAGTTTTATTTGAAAAAAAAATACATATGTTTTTTCAAATATTTATAAAAAATTATTGTTGTATTTAAGTAAATTTTTAAAACAGAGATTATTACTTCCGGTTTTAGTAACTTGGGCACGTTTATGTTTTGTATTGTCATATAATGTGAATGATGAATTTTCTTGTACGGATCATTGTTAAATTGTATCGTTATAACAAATAATTGAACAATTATCAAAATATAATTGATTAAAAATAACATTTTTTAACTGAAGTTATGTACTAAAGTATTATACTGAATATTATGTATGCATCTAATAATTAACGTTATATTATATACAATATCACAGGATTCAATTTTTCAGATATGAATAATTTATTCTTAATCTTGTTTTAATTTATACTTTTGGATATTACAATTTACAAGATTACCAGTATTATTGTTTAATTTTGACGTATTAAATCAGTTGTAGTAAATTAAACTTGGTTTTTAGTTATTATTCTACTGTGAATAATTTGAATAAGAAATATATACTGATTTTTAAATTTTAAGACGTCCCATCAAATTTCATGTCTAAATGTTATTCTACAAACATTACTTATACCATCTATTCATTTTTTAAATTTACAAAATTTTAAAATCATTTAGTAATTTTTGATAAAATTCTAGATTTTTAATAAATTATTTTTTATTAAATTATAATAACAAGCTTTTTTTTTATTTTTACTAAGATAATGTATAATACTGTATTCCATTAATCACCTTGTAATTGCATTGGTATTAATCATAACATTAAATGTGCATTACACATGTCCACGCACTCGGTAAATTAGTATACACAACTTGTGGCTTGGATTTTTAGTGACCATTTACTTAAAATATCTTATTTTTTTTTATACATTAGTAGAAATATTTCCACTATCATAATATTCATAAAAACATTTAGGTATATATATTATTATTTGCTCTCTAAAGTAAAAATTATTTTGGCTCAATTAAAAAATAAATTTCCATCAGAAGTTAATTCCTCAGTTAAATTATTTTATGACGTGCCTAATTAATTTTATAATATAATATTATAGTATACTATTATAACTTAAAACTTAGAATCAAGATAATTTCTTTTTGTTTTATTTTTTTATAGTATTATTTAACATAATTTTAATTTTAATGCACAGACATAGATTATTAAACTAATACATTTTTCTATTATACGCGAGTTAAAATGGAGAACTCTCGTTATCGGAAATAATAAGCTTTTGATTCAATAATGTTCAATGCTTATTACACGTCAAAATATTTAAAAATAATTTAAATAAATGATGAAAAAATATTGATAATTAAATACAAATAATTATAGAGTATTAATTATTTTACTTTGATTAAAAATTTTAAACAAGAAAGCAACAAATTTGGCTGTCGGATATAATCAAATAATACTTACTATTATTTTATCGTACTATATCATTCAATTATATAATAATTTTTAAATTTTTATATTTCAATAATTAATCTATAAAAATACAATATATGTCAATATAATATGGTCAAGCACATTTTTTTTCGATGATATTAAGTATAACAGAAGAAAAAAAGCTAGATTTACCATTTTTCAAGGATGTCAAGATTTATTCTTACCATCAATATTTTTCAGATGCAAAGATTCCACTTCTTTTTCACGTTCTCCGTATGTTGAAGGCAATGTAGATGCTTGCATGAACAAACAACGTTCGTAATATAGATTATTAATAAACAGTCAGTGGCCGATATAAGTTACAAAGCCTAAGAAATTAAGATTACATTTTTTCTTATTAAAAAAACTTCTGTGAATGTATTGATTTACTTTATCTTGCTTATTGTTATAACTTTTATACATTTTAAAACTAAAATATAATTTGAAAAACAACAAAATTAAACATGATAGACGAAGAAATCCAATTAGAAGTAAAAGTAATAGATGCATTTAAGAGTTATGGAGATCATCGTGTATTTAATGGTTTGAATATGAATGTGTCTTCAGGTTCTATGTAAGTTATTATATTTCAGTAATAATTATTGAATTAGTTTTGAATCATTTATTATATGTAAATTATGTCTATTTTTTGGTATTATTAACAAAGCAATGAATGTACTGATTTCACATGGTTTTTTTTCTGTATCTGTAAATATTTTTTGTAGCAGTATAAACACTTTGATTTTCTAAAATGGGAATAGTTTTTGATAGAAAATTTGACCTAATTAATAGTAAGTAATTCAATATTTCTAAACAGTTTTAAAATTTAATAAAACAAAAAAAAAAAAAAACTTAAGGAAAAATGGAGATTTTTATTCAAATTCAACTTTTGACAAGATTTTGATTTTTTTGGTGTAACTCAAAACCGTAGTTACTTGTAATTTCAATTAAATGTTAAAATATTGTTTTTTATAAATAATACAATTTTCAAAATATTCCAACTATTTTTATTTTTTTTTTCTAGAAAAATGTATTAAAAATTTAATTAGGTAAAAATACTTAAAAATGTAATATAAAAATAAAATATTAAAAATTTACAGAAAATTTAGTAATTTATAATTTTTTTATTTTTTAACCTACGCATAAAAAAAAATTCAAAAATATACAGATTGTACCTATTTGTAAAGTAATTATTATTGCTCTTCAAACAGTTTTTGATATTTATACTCTTTTTGAGCTATGTATATAGGTTACGTGAAAAAACTTTAGTTTTTCTTTAATAGTTGATAAAAAAATTATTCACTAGATCGAAATTTTTGAAAATATTACAAAATCTCACATAAATTGTTAAATTGTTCTCATATTATAAAAATATTAATAATATATATCCATAATTTTTATTTAAAATTTTCATCAAAACATTAAACAGTAATTATTAATTGTCAACTATTTTTTACTTAAAAATTCATGAAAAATTTTATTTTTACATCTAAGCATTGAACATTTATTACATTGTTTCTTAATAATAGGTAGTTTATACTAAAATCATAAAATTTAAAAAATATAATATACAAAAATTATTTACTATAGACATTTGAAGTTAAAAGTTGGAGAAAATTACTAAATTAAACGATAAATAATAATTTTAATTAATTTGTTATAATTTCATAATATTATTCGTGGAAACATATTATTATTTTTTTTTTTTTTTTTTTTTTGTATTTTATATTATTATGAATTCTATTTGTACTATTTTACGGTATTTACAAAAATATTTTATTACATTTTGAATTATAATATTTGATATCATATATTATATTATATACGTTATTCTAATAACTAAATACCAAATAATAAATCCAAAATTTAATAAAAAATGTATTTTAGCCTACCGTAATATTAAGAGTGAATTAAATTACTTAAATAGCTATATCTATAAAAAAAAAATACATAATAATGGAATATAGTTTTTGATACACGCTGTTAAATCGTCTACACTCAGAATCATTTCTCGTATACTATGATAAATTAATGTATACTTACAGTTAAAATTATTTTTTTTTGTGAATAAGTTTTAAATTTTCATTCAACTTTTGACTGTGAAAATAACGTTGTACTCTGTTTTCAATCGTAATGAATGAAGTGAAAAGCAATCTTCATATAGAGTTCATTTTCATGTGTTTCCATGTCGATTAAAATCATCTTCATTTTTTTAATACAATAATTACAATTATGATAAATAATCTTAATAGTTTAATAGCACAAAAATAATACCTACATGTTTAAAAACTATGTGAAATATTTTAATGTTTAATACGATAAAGGAATTAATTTAAAGAAAACGTGAAAACACACCCGATTGGTAACAGGAAGCTGTACACGTCACCGCCGTAAGTAGGATCTTATGACGTCACGCATAACTTTATAGCTATAAGAACTTGAAAAGTATTTTAACATAGAAAATTTTTATTACTACAATAATTTTAGTCAGATTTTTTGCGAGTTTTTAAATAAAAATTATTTTGAGTGTTTCATAATTCTTTAAATAATATGTATAATAATAATTAACATTTTAACTTTAATTGCTTTTAAAAAATATTGCACCCATGCATCTTTATTATATTTAAATAGCTGTAATATTCTTGTAATAGATTTTCAAGTATTATAAAGTTTCAAAATATTTTTATCAACAATAATTGAAAAAAAAACAAGATATGACTTTTTGGTAAATTTTTTTTTATTAGTAAAAAAAATTACCAGAAACTTTGTATTCAATTGTCAAATTGTTTTAAAAATTCTCATACAAAAAGCTTATAAAAAATACTATGAGTGTGAAATGTTCATATTTTTTAAAAACCATAATATTACAAATAACTTGTAGGGTCCTAATATTCAATTTTCAAGGTTTTTTACTGAGTAAATAATAGTTAAAAATATTTTTATTTTTTTTAAACTAACAATTTCTTATATCCTTAAATAAATCAAAAAGAAACAAAATGTTTTAAAATGTTTATAATACATATAAAATATCGGTATCAAAATTTAGCAAACATTATAAGTATCTATAGTAATTCGTTATTTAATCATACCAAAAGTAAAAACAAAAAGTTGATCGAAAATTGATTTTGTGTAAAAATACTAGTAGAAAATAAAATACTCAATCGATTTTTATCAGTAAAATCAGAATATTTACCAACTCTCGATAATTAACTTATTTAAAACGTTTTTTAGCTTACTTGGTATACTAGAATGATATCTTAACAAAGCGTAAAGGCAAATAAACAGCTATGATAAATATTTAATTCTAATAAACCCATTATTTAATATAACAAAACAAGTAGGTACCTATAATATTCCGTTCAAACTAAATTAATGTTTTTGTTAGAAGAAGAAATTATTTAAATATTTATCAAATTAATTTAAATTTTGAAATAATAGATTTTGCAACGGTAGAGTTATTACTATAATTATGTCTTTACCATATTAAACGTAAAACTTTGATACAAATATCAATTGCGTGATAGTTACTACGACAAACAAATATTGGCAATAATTTAGTTTAGTAAGTATACTCGAAGGGTAACTTCTTTTTAGTTTTTTTATTAAATGGTATAAGTGAACGTTTACCTTTATTTTACTAAAAATATTGTTAAAAAACAAAATTGTGTATATCTAAAAGAATATTAAAATATGTGTAAACTTTTTGCATGAATATTTATAATATTATTACCACTTATTTATTGTAAATATCTGTAGGTATAAATAATACAAAATATTGCACCTACCAAATAAATTCATCTTGTGATTTCATACTCAAGCGCAAAACTTAGTTAAACTAAGATTAATTAAAAGTATTTGGTATAATACTTGAGGTTACCTTGATATTTTAAATTGTTTACATAAAATGATTTGTAATCTTTTTAGAATAACAGCGGTAATTACGTACTATTCACTACTTTTATGATTAAATATTTATGTTAAATTAAATTCTGAAAAATATTTCAAACACTTTTGTATGTAAACAAAAATAATACTTACTCTATGACGAGGTACTGTATAGCAAAGCGGTTATCTACTTTTACTCTTTTCAGTTTTTAATGAAATAATGATGAAATTATTATTTTTAATATACATATGTATTTATTTTTTTTACAGCTATAGCCTTTTGGGACCAAGTGGTTGTGGTAAATCGACACTTCTCCAATGTTTAATGGGATTAAAAGAATTGAATTCAGGAAGCATTGAGTTAAAGGTTGAAGATTTAAAGTCCGTTGGATATATGCCTCAAGTAAATATAGAATTGATAGAAATAAATCATTGATTTTAACATTTATAATTTTGAAGGATCTATGTTTGGAAAGCACTCTGACAATAAAAGAAACATTTGAATATTATGGAACACTTTATGCCATGAAAAAAAATAAAATTAAGAGAAAAATTGATGAGATTAATGCATTCTTACAGTTACCGAATTTAAATAGTTTAGTTAAAGATATAAGGTAAGGTATACTCCATACCCATTAGTTGCGTTTTTTATATAATGTTGGAGAATTATTTATCATTACATTTTTTAAAATATGTTTATAATATTGAACATGACCATAATATTAGTTTCATTAATGTTAGCAATATTATTTGCAGTATACGATTATGATATTTGTATTTTAGTAGAGATAATGTTTAGAAGATAATACTATTTCATCAAGTACAATCTAAGAATTAACTATTTAAAATTTTGATTAATATTAAATTAGTTTTTATTTTGATTGCAATAAAGTTCTTATAAATAGACGTTTTCAGTATTTTTAATGAAGTGAGATAGAAAAATTGAGTTAACCATAAAGTCATAGTCTCATAAATGGCATAAATCTAGAATAATGATAATATAATACAAAAAAAACATACATTAAATTACTAACACGTATTTAATGTAAATAACTTATTATTTAAAAATTTCTTATTAAACAAACGTATACAATATGTGTGACATTATTTTTGGAAATTTATTATTTTATATTTGTTTCCAGTTTTATCAGCTATGTATATTCTTATTTAAAAAAATAGCAATATGAATAACAAATTCAAAGTAAAATGTAACACGTTCTATATGTCCTATATGTTTATTATTCGATTTTGTTAAAAAGTAATTTAAATACCCGAATTATTAAAAATCTAAATATAAAATAATTTAATATATAATATTTTATAAGTAGTAAGTCGTATCAAATAGTATAAATATCTGAATATGCTATTAATTTTTCAAAAGTATGCAGGTATTAAAAAAGCATCAACAATTTTACAGAAAAATTTAAAAACTGGTAACTTTAAAAATAAAATACATAAAAATATAAAAGTACTGAATAGAAAAACAAACAAACGACAAGATAACAAACCACTAAAGTTGTAGTTACCATATTATATCATACTATAGTAGAAAACCATAATCTGCAAATCGTTACCTATTTTATATAATTTAGTACAACATTTTATAAAATAAATTTAAGCTTTTAAAGACCACGAAGTTCAATCTGTGGAACATCCATATTTATGATTATTATATTATTTTCTTATAACTAGGACATTAAAATTATGGTATTAAAAATTCACTAAATGGATAGTATTTTTTCATTAAAATATATTAAAAATTGTTCTTAAAATTATGAAAATTGAATTAAAAAAAATATATATATTATATAACTATTAATTAATAATAATAATAAAAAAAAAATTAAATACAAATATTGCTTACATCATTGCGTTGTATAACAAATAATTTGTTTAAGTTATCAAAATTAAATGACCGTCTGTTATCGCTTAATAAATTCTTATATCGGGAAAAATTACTTTCTACATCGGTAGTTGTAATTGTAAGTGTGTACTTGAAGTAAGTTAGATTATTGCTGGTTAAGTCTTCTGGGAATTTCTCCATTGATTATTTTTCTCCACTCAAAATTTTGGAAATAAGTACAATTTTTTGAAACCTATCATTTTTTTGTAAAATACTTTTGAATTTCTAGTTTATTAAAATTCTATTTTTTCCTGGATTTTTTATATTTTAGTTTCAATTTTCTCAACTGTAGATAAAGCTTCGATTAATGGAGCATGTATGATTTCAAGCTTAGTAATTTTTGCTGACATGAAACTATAATTGGAATGAATAAATACTAAATTGGTTTTCATTGTATTATCTAAAATGAGATGTTTAGCTTTTTTAATAGAAATAGCATCATTTAAACTTAATAACTATATTAATTTTTTACTTCTTCAAAATGTTCAAAATAGTAAGATGCAGCATTTATTTATGTTCCCCATTGGGTTATTATGGGCTGAGTGGGTAAATTAATACCCAGAGCTTCTTCTTTAAACTGTAAAATACGGAAGGTGTCTTTAAAAATATTTGTTTTACTTTAACGATAAGCTTGTCAATTTTTGGAAAATTACTACTTACGTTTTCTACAATTCTATGAGTACTGTGAGCTAAAAAAGTTATGTGAACCGTTTTTTGAGTACTGTAATTATGGAAGCTACTTTTACCATATAAGGGGCTAAGTTAGATAAAAACGGCAAGACGGCGATATGGTGTATTCTATTCGGCCATAAAATAAACATGGATTTTTGAAGAAGTTTAACTATTGTGATTAGATTTTTTCAAGAATTTTGGTTGTAAGTAAAAATATCTTACCAAGTTGATCAAATTCTAAGATTACAATTACGACGTTAGTTTAAAATATCCATTCGTGCCTGTTGACTTATTAATGAATACTCTTATTTTTACCAATTTCTGATAATTTCAACTACGTTTTCGTAGCAATCATTAACACGTGTTGCATATAATTTAGTGACAGTTGGAATTTATTTACCCGTGCACTTTTCCAAAAATGGCTGGAAATGTATTTTACTAATTTTATGCAACGGAATATTACTTGAAATCGACGTTTTTCATAGATCAATTTTATATAGATTTCATTTTTTTATACTTGAAAAAAAGTTATTGAATTTTTGAATATGTGCTATAAGTTTTCTTATTTACTGAAATAGAATGTTTATCAATTAAGATGTTGCGTCATAATATATCGTATACTAACACATACTTTCACTACATATTATTGAAAGAAAAAAAATAGGATTTCCAAATTCAGACATATAATTTTTCAATAATGCTGATTTACTCTTTAGGTTTAATTTTCGGAGTTTTAATGAACGAATTGACGTGACAAAGACCATAACAAACCATTAAATCGATTAAAATTTATAACGATATCAGTACCTACTTTTAAACATAACTAACTGATGACTGTAGAAATTAATGGTAAATAAATATTTATAAATAGCTTAATAAATACTATAAATTTTTTCACTGCTACGTTGACTTAATTTTCATTTTATATATCAAAATGTTAAATAATCTTAAAATTATACGAAAATAATAAAAAAATAGTTAAAATTTAACTAAAAGAAAAAAAGAAAAAATTTAATTTATTGTGATAAAATTATTTTAGCTTAAATTTACAGTTAAACGAAACATATTTTAACCTTGCTTAGCAATTTCAAAAAACATGCAAATGCAAAAATTTACTTATAACATTGTTTATATTTGTTCATAAAAAACAATTTTTTGTAAATTTTGTTGCGTATAATCTATAGTTACAATAACTAAAATAAAATTAGAACTTATTTTATAGTTTTATTGATTTTATTTAAATGGCATAATATTATAGGCAGTATGTACCTATATTATATTTTCCAGTTATCATTACAATAAATAATATGAAAACTAAATATTTAAGTTCTAATGAATATCTTATTCTCATAAAGCTTCTCAGTTATAAAATCAAGAAGAGTAATTTAAATTTCAAAGCAATTTAATTATACTGTTATATGTGTATGTTAAATCTTGAAAATAATCATGAACTAAAATAAAATGCATATGTGAATCATCCTATAGTGGTTGAAAAACAAATAAAAAAAAAACCCTTTGAATATTAAAGAATGTATTTGTTTAAATTGTATTTAAATCGCTCAAGTAGTTTCTAATATTAGCCGTTAGTAACTAGCGTTCGTTACAGTAACGGGTTTTTATTTATTTGCATGCAATTTATACAGTCATGCATGTTCTGTTTTTAAATGTTTACCCATGAATATATACAATTTATAAGTTTGAATACAAAAACGAATATTTTAATTTTTTTAATTTTTTTTTTTAGTTTATCTAAAATGGTTATGTTTTCTCATATTATCTTATTACTTTAATAATATAGGATATGATTTAGTTATTTTAATTTTTACATATTTTCTAGCGGTGGCCAAAGTAGAAGAGTATCTCTTGGTGTTTGCTTATTCCATAATCCTAAGCTTGTTATACTGGATGAACCTACAGTTGGAATTGATCCTTTAATGAAACAAGAGTAACTCATTTAATGACAAATAAGTTGAATTTAATATTAATAATTTAAAATATATTGTAGAATTTGGAATGAGCTTACAAAAATGGTTGAACAACAACAGAAAACCATCATAATAACTACTCATTATATCGAAGAAGCCAATTCAGCCAATCGTGTAAGTCCTTATTTTTGTTAATTTTTTTATATTTAAATAATTTCGAAGATTCAAATATATCATGTATTATTCACTTAATTTAAATGTTTAAGTGTAGCATATATTATCAAACTTGGTATCGTACACTAATACACGACAATTCAATATCGTTTGTAAACTAACATATCAGAGATATGGGTTTGATTTATGTTGTTATGTTTTCTGTTAACTTGGGTTAATCTAATATAAAAACTCTAGATAGGTTAAATTTAACCGAATCATTTTATATGAAATATTTAATACTCTAACAAATAATTTCATAGTTAAAAAAAAATTACATTCCCTCACACACACACACACACACACACACACAGATATATATAAACCTATTTTATTTGTTAATAATATAATAATTTAATAAAAAGTAGAATACACTAGTACAACTTTGTGATGTATGATCATCTTCTTTGAACAAACTTATGGCATTATAAATTTTTATTTAATATTAAATTAATATAAGTGAGTAAAATTTCATATTATTGATCCAAAAATCAAAAATAATACCTACATGTGTTTGTACCTTAATTTTCACGATATTTTAATTTTTGGGAATGTTAGCATTTTTTTATTGTTATATTTTCAATATTTATAACTTATTAAAAATTAAAATAATCAACTTACAAACGTAGATTTTGCTTAATTCATTAAGTTTGATTACAGGTAAATTCACTCTTAAATTAACGCTAATAACAAAAAATTGGTTATATTATACGAAAAATCACTATGTTGTATGTCTCTGTAAAATGGTGACAATACATATGGTATATTTTTATGATTGTATACAATATGATCTTAAGCCCAGCTATTCAACTTAATAATAAAACAGTGTGGTAGCTTAGAAACAAATCTAATTATGATTGATATGCTATTAGAAAAATTATGATTATGAACTAGATTTGTATGCAATAAAAATTTATAAAATATACAAATTCATATCATAAATATCAATATGCAAAAAATAAAACATATCATATTTATATACCTATAAAACCTATAAAGAAGTTATTAAAAAAAAAAAAAAAAAAAAATGCGAAAACAATAAGTATTTTTTTACGTCATTGTGTTTAAAACAAGTTTATAATATTTTATAAAATTCAAAGTATTATTATTTTTATGAAATACTATTTGTATAAATTATTAATATTTGACGTACCAACATAGATAAGGTAATAAAATGACGTCGTCGACCAATGGGAGAGAGGATTGACGTCACTTATTAGGAGTTGGGGGATTGACGTCATTTATGAAAACGATTAATTCATGCAGACAAATGTTGTAAAAAACACGTTTTAAATTTAAATGTACAGTTTTCACCGACTATTGACGTCATTTACCTACCAAGATAAGTGGTTAAAAACGATAAAATAAAACATTATTTGTTTTATAACATAATTGGTTTTCTTACTTACTACTTTATGTGATGAAAAAAGAGTTAATTTAAACCAATAAAATAGGTTTACAATATACATTATTTATTAGTACAATCAAGACTACTGTGACATTTATAACTGAAAAACATTGCCGCTGTATTGCAAGCACGTTTTTTAGAGCTATAACCAGTTTTATAGTTTCATTATGATTGAAGTCTTGATTCCTTATCCTATAACATCACGAAGAGATTTTCCTATTTTTATTTTTTTTCACGGCTTTATCTAGTTCTATAATTTTTTGTTACATATAGAAATTTGTACTCTTGTATATTTGTATTTCAACACATCATATTCGGAACCGGATTCAGACGTAAGGTTATTTATTATTTAAAATTAAATAAATATCATCAAATTAAAATTGGTTTATATAATTTATACATGTCATTTTCAAACAAAATAATAACTGTGGCAAGATTAATGTGACTTGGAGTAAGTAACAGCCACAGCTACTAGTTCTCGAATGGATGACCACCCGGACTCGTAGTAGTTTAAAACCTTGCCTTACATGCACGTGTTTGCTATCAACTTTGCAACAACCATAAGAATCGTAAAAACAACCTACCTGTACCAACCTTATCTCAACCCACAGTTCATAACCCCTACAACAGCTAATGGTCCTAGTCACCAGGCTTAATTTCAATAAAAAAAAAAAATAAAATAATAATAATAATAATAATAACTGCAAGTAAATTACGTGGAGAACCTGTCAACATCTGTTATTGGACATGAACAGTTTTACTAACTTTAAGCTTTGAGAACTTTTAGTTAGCCAATCTTAAGATTTTTGATGATTTTTCTTTCAAAAAAATAACCTATTTTTGTCGTCAATCTTTGATTTTTTAATTCTTTTACCTTCAAAAAATACAATAACTTTTTTTGTAAATTAAACATACTAATATAATATAATAATAACCTATATGTTTAGGATTTTCATTAATATGTTCCGAATGATTCAAATAATGTTTTAATATTCTCTTTTGACTTATTTTTTATATTTCATCATAAGGGATCCCTGTTGAAGCTAGTCTTATTCTCGCTGTACAATAGAACATTGCCTCATACAGTCATACGGTGATCTTACAATAGGTATCTGTTATAAATAAAATATTCTAAGTTTTATGAAAAAAAATTAAATTTTTATTAGTTAACAAATTGCTCAATCATTTTGAAATTGCTTATATTTTAATGTCATTGACTAGTCTTTTGATGTATTATCAGCCATCTAAGAGGTTAATATTTTTTCAATATCCCTATTCTCCTTCCATGCACAATTTCAATATCACCAACTCCACATTTTATTTAAATTTGTAATTATAAAATTTACAAGCTGATCATTGTCTGAGTGGAATATAGTAGGTGCACCAATTATTATTTAAATATCTATTCAATATAAAGCGATTTTTTTGGTCCTTTTTGTCTTCAGAGATTTTAAAATCACAAATGACAAATAATGACTGAGTTGAACGCTTAACAGTGAATAGTCTATGATGTTATGTACTAATGATTAAAACTCAATAAAATTACACAAAAAAATTTTACAAACAATTTAAAATCTTTTTTTATTTATTTGTTTTAATTACTGTTATAGATTGGTTTGATGAGAAATGGAGTGCTGGTAGATGAAGGTTCACCTCAAGAAATTATGTTTAAATATACAGCTGAATCGTTGGAATCGGCCTTTTTAATATTATGCTCTGATCAAGATTCAAATGAAGTACCAAAAGTATTTGATATAAATATTCATTATATTTTATAGTTTATAATTTAACAATTTAATGTATTTAATAAAAATCTTGTTTGAATAAATAGGCATTGGGAATTGTATACAAATTATCCATTTTTAAGTGTAATATGATGACTTATACAAATTGTATGTACATAAGCTTTTGTGTAATTGTGCATGTTTTTCAGGAACAATTTTTAGAAATAATTTGGATTTAACAATAGTTTTGATTTAAATCATATATTTTTTTTATTTAATAATATTTAAAAATTTGTTGAAATATATTAATTATTTTGTAATATTCAATAAAAAAAAATCAGAAAAAAGTTCGGAAAAATTAAAAATGAATAAATTTGATGTAAAATAAAGTTTTTAACAAATTAAAATATTAAATGTTTAACATTTTTATCGGACTAAGAAATAACTTGCTACGATAAACATAAATTCGTCAGTTCTAATGTAAAATAAATAATCAGATCTAATGATATTAGAGGAAAACAATAGAATATTTACAAAAAAATATGTACTTAAGGTTTCTATACTTTTGGTTTCTACAATCAATATATACAGTTCTATATTTAATAGTATAAACAATATATCATTATATAGTAAAGTGTATTCAATAATTTATGATGTTTAAGCACTATTATATGTGAAGGTTATATTTACCTATTAATTTAACAGTAAACTAATAAAACATATTAAAATTACTATTTTTCAATTTTTATGCAATTTTATCATCTCTTTTTTATTTTTTTTAACATTTAATTCAAATCAAACTATTTAAAAAATTATTCTATTACTTGTATTGTTTAGATTCTTCCAAAAGCTGTTACAAAATTGCATAGCATTCAATCAAAAAATTTAATTAAACATAGTAAAACAATAGATTTCATGAGAATTAAAGCTTTGCTGAAAAAGAATATAAATGTATTATATCGTGATTACTGGTAAACACGATTTAAGTATAATTTTATAATATTTGAATATAAAAACTATAGTGAATTTGTATATTAAATATGTTGTATAGGTTATTGTTCACCTTGATTATTCTTCCCATTTTCCAATCATTCGTTTTTTGTTCGAGCATCGGAGTAAATTTTAAAGGAATGGAAATAGCAATACAAAATGATGAAATTAGCTTAAATGATTGCAAACACATTTCTTATTTCAATGGATGTATTTTTATTAATGATACAACTCAGTTAATGAGTTGTGCTGTTATACAATATCTTACATCACTAGATTATATATTTGTAAGTACAAAACAAAATATTTAAGAGTTAAATACTTTTATAATTTTTATTATAAACCAATGAGGTTTCAGCATTTAAATAAACAGATTATTTTTTAAATGTTTAAGTAATGGTCTTAACTGTATTCTATTAGAAACATATTTAACCTCACTAAGTAGCTAAGTTGGTATTTAAGATGTCAAATATTAATGTTTAGTATATGATTATTTAGGTTGAAATAAAAGATCGTCATGCTGGAGAAATGTATCTGAACAATGAAAATTGTTTTGCATTTATACATTTTCCTGAGAACTTTACACAAGGTTTGATCAGATATTTTGACACTCCTGATGAATATGATATACAATCGATGTCTTCAATGGATTTTGTCAAACATAGTATGTTTATATATATATATATTCAATTTTTATATTTTTATTGTTGGTTGCATACATCATTTTTTAATTTTAGATGTATTGTTTAAAAATCAAATAATTTTGGATGTAAGAAATGCAATAACTTCTCTATTACAGTATATTTTAAAAAGTTGTTCCAATAATCCAAGAATAGCTGGTTTACCTATGGTAAGTCGACCAATAACTTAGAATTTGAAATGCACTTTTACAATTAAACATATTATATGGTGTTTAGTTTATGGCCATAATAGCCACATTGTTTATTGATTAATATTAAAGCACAGTGTATAAAGATAGATAGCCTAATGTCACGTTAATATTAAGTTTTATTTGGTCTTAAAAAAAAAAAAAAAAATGCTGCAGGAAATATAAAAACGTTAAAATATAATAAAAAATGAAAATTTATATTAAATTAAAGAAAAAGTGTGGCGCCTGATGTAGTGTGGTGGTTGGCCTCAGACACTTAATGTGTTCTGAGATCAAGCATAATCCGTCGTTGCTAGCTCTCAAATGGGTGACCACCCGAGTTCTTAGTGACGAATCCATGGCGCACAAACATATATACACGTGTTCTTACCATACTAACCAAACATTACAAACAAACCTTACACAAAAAAAAACCTACTATTTCTATTTATAGCTAATGGCCTTAGTTTCCTTGCTTAAATAAGATAAATTAAAAAGAAAAAGTTATGAAACAGAAACATTTCTAATTTGTAGTTTTCTAATATTTTGTTTTGATACGTTACTAAAATGTTATTTTTTTTTTTTTTTTTAGGAATTCAATTCATTATATGGAAAAGAAGTAAAAGTTCTTAATCACAGTACATCATCAGTTTTTCTAATAATGTGACTATAATTGTTATTATTAATTATTTTTATAATTCTTTTACCAAAAGTCAGTAATATTCAAAGTTGTAAATTTTTATTTTATTTATTGTTAAAATATTTAAAAATATCTTTAATAAACTCTCATTTATAAATGCATATAAAGTATACATTATATGCGTTATATGAGATTTATAATTTATCAATATTTAAATAAATTATGAGTTAGTCAAAAATAATGTGGAAATTGGTTTAATTATAGAGTTTTTCATAATTTTTTTCTTTGATTTTATAAGAAAGAACGGAAAACACATTTTAATTGTACAAAAAAAAAAAAAAATGTTATTTATCACTTTTAAAAGTTATTATTATTATTATTATTATCAAGACATAATAGATTCATGGACATGGTTTTTTTTTTTTTTTTTTTTAGGTGTACATTTTATTTTAGTAGTATTTATTCAGTGAGCATTATGCTTTCAGAAAAAATGGATGGAATCCTTAGTCGATCGATGTTTGCAGGTATTTTAATAATATTATTTTAACATCAGGAATAGTTAAAATTTCAAATGAATTTTATTACAGGAGTTACAGTATTAGAATTGCTCATTTCAATGTTTTGTATTTCCAACCTTTTAATTTTGGGTCATTCGGCTACCATTTTTATTATCACATACGTATTTTATTCGAACCCCATTTACTTATCTAGTGGTTTATTCGTGTATGCCATGTTGATAACAATTATGTCATGGATAGGATTTCTATTTGGTATGTATAAAGTAAAATTATTTATTTATTTATGATATTATGTTTTAAAAACTATTAATTTTTATTCACGTTAATGAGACATATATAATAATTAATATGTCACACGACGATACTGAAATACTGCATTCTAATCACAATATTACTAAAACAAAATATTAGCATTTCACATTTTTCTTTCAAATATTAATTCTATCTATCAAAGTTTAACTATTTACAACTAAATAAAAATTTCAACTAATGACCCTTGTTATTGAAGCTTAAAATTAATTTTGAAAAATGAATAAATAAATAAAAATGTGTTTTAAAATCTATTAGTATTAAATAAAATCAAAATATTTATTCGTAATTAAACTATTTATATACATATATATATATATATAAATAATAAATATATTATATTTACATAGGTATTTACTAAGAATATAAATTATAATGTTAAATCTGTGAAAAAATATTAACAGTAGGTATAATTTGTTACAGTATTCCAAATCAAAAATACGAGTGATTGATAAAATAAATTCACTAGTGACAACAGTTCTTATCTAAAAAAACTTATTAAAACTATTTTGCAAATGTGATAAAAATGCTATTAACGTATGTGTTTTTAGGCCGGATAAAAATATTTTTGGTTCGTAGTCGTGGTTGATTTTTTGTTATAACGACGAAACATTATACTAGTAATTTTGCGTTACAGTATTTGGGATTCCTCTATATCTAGTAACTGTAACATTATACTTGTATAATTACGTTATCATATTAATCACCTTATTTATACTTTTTTTATTTAATCACAATTTTAAAAACATCTATAATTTAATATATTTTCCGTATATTGGAGAAAATATCAAGTACTAAATCATGTTTTTATTTTAGAATACTTTTACTTGATTACTGAATTGAAATAACTAAACAACTAAAACAAACATGCTGTTAATTTTTTTCAAATACAATTTATTTATTAATTTATTAAACACTATACACATTTCATAATGCATACTTAGTTTAAAATTTTACTTTTTTAATAATATTTTAATAATCTCATTATACACAACAAAAAAAAAAGAAAAGAAACTATCAAAAAGTAAATAATTTTTTTTCGTGGTAAAATAGGTTTACTTGCCGCTGGAATAACACCAACTAAAGCTAGTGGTGTTAGCCTAATGAATGGATGTGCTCTATCTCAAATGCTATTATCAGGTAAAGAATCAAATCTTGTTGTCATCATAAAATAATAAAAATGTAAATAGTATTATTTCTATTCTTTATAGGCATATTATGGCCAGTTGAAGGACAATCACACTTCTTAAGACCAGTATCTGAGTTACTGCCTATGCGATTAGCCGGAAATGCAATGAACGACATATCATTGAAAGGTTGGACGTTTGATCATCCATCAATCATAAAGGGCACCTCAGCGACATTTGCACATGTGATATTATTAATATTACTTTTAATTGGTCTAAGTAAAGTTAAAAAAGACATGTGGGTTATACATAAATAAAATCTTTAGACTTCAATAAATATTTTTGTTATATTCATCCTTGAGATATTTATTATTAAATATTAGATAATGATAAGATATTTCAATAATGGACTATTTGATTCGTATTATATTAATTTGTTAAGTTTCCATAAGATACTCGAGAATATTGTGTTGGAAGAAGATAATATTTGGCATGTGTGTGTTTATGATTTAATCAGTTGTTAAGTTATTAAATTAGCATTTAAATGTTGTTATTTTTTTTATTTATATTTGTAATACATGTATAATATACGCCACTAATATGTTTAGTTTTTTCCAATAGTATTTAAATGTGCCGCTACCTTGAAATGTATAGATATCATTGTCTTTAAAAAGTCAAAATGTCACGGTAGTATATCTATACATAAATCATACTTAGCTATACATAAATCATACTTAGCTATTTAATTTTTCTTCTCGTAATAAAATAAAATTAGTTGCATTATTAATTTATTGTAAAATAAATTACTGTAGGTACTCGTAATAGCAATATAAATATATCATACATTATACTTAGTAATAAAGGCTGTCAGACTTTCTTCGCTCAGAATCATTTTTAATGTGCAATGTTTTATCAGTGAATTTAAATTTAACACGCACACATTATGATTTTTTTACTTAATTACAAGGTATAAGTATACCTACTATATAACATTAAAATTATTACGATTAAGCGGCTTTCTGCTTTACTTGTTTTTTTGTTGTTGTTTAATTCAATAAATATAATCAATAATTATTGACTCTTAGCAATCTTGATTTCTTATGACATATTTTGGTATATATAGTTTTTTTTTTTAAACTCACAAAAAAATAATTTGAAAAATGCCATTAAAAAAATATAACGTATATTTATTTCAACTAAAAAAAAAATAAATATCAACAAATTTCAATTAATTTAGAATAGACAATGATGATCTATATTTAACGGTTGACAATGGAAACCCAACACAAAATTATTTGATCTATAATCTATGGATAACGTACGCGTTTTAAAATCGTTTGTATTTTTGAACAAATAATTCTCACTGATAATTTATGTTACCTACTTGTCAACCAGTCATTTACTATTACAAGTATAGTACAGTCCCAAAATTTAAAATATGAATACTCAATTTTCATATTAGTATATAATTCTATTCGTTTATTGAACTGATAATAATTGCAAAACATACAATTTTACACTGTTTGTAAAGATATATACGAATAGTTTTTTTACCTATCTCAGAATTTTGATTAGTGTTACAATCAACTTCTGAAGTATCTTAGTTACACCAAACTGTCTATAAAAACATAATACTGTGAAAAGTGGTTTTTTTTTTTTTTTTTTTTGATAGACTATTATATATTATTTTATTAAAATAGTGGTGGTTATGTGCAGGGGTTATACTAACTAATATATTGAATCAAGTGACCGGTATTTGGTGACTTTTAAATCTGGTTTTTTTATATATTACGTCATCAAATCTATCTAAACAGTCATAATAAAATATTTAACAATGACAATGAATAGTAACTTTAAATGTCTACGTAATATCTTGTGTTCGTTTTACAGATGGTCAAATTTATAAAGTGCCATTACGGATTCTTTTCTATAAGTAAATTTGTATACTAGTAAAATTAATGATCATCTATTTTTAACAATATTATTATCAACAATAATTACAGCCATTGCGCTTGCTCTTCAACTAGATTTACACCCATGATATAAATTTGTAGTATTTTTGTTGTAATCATTTTTATTTTTTCAATAACATTATTATCATTTCTATTATTTTCGTGTTGTGATCGTATATTGTATTTTATTTCACGAATAAAATAAGACTTAACAATCCGATATTATTTTTCAATAAAAATGCCATCGGTTGTATTAGTGGTATTATTCTCTTTGTGTTTTATTTTTTTTTTTTTTTTTTTTTTTGGCTTCTCTTAAGTTCCTGCTAGTATACAATCTCTTAAGAAAAGCAATACGACGAAGAGAGTGTGTGGAAAAAAAAGTTGTAAGAACAACGCTTTTATACGATTTTAAAGCCATAAATGTCGGTTGGGACAGAGAAACAACCGGTGTGCCGTGCCAAGATAGGAGGTCGCGTGTCGTGCTCGGTTTACTGACAACTAAGCGTTTATATAGCTGTCGGATACTTGTTTGCGATACGGCCAGGAGGAAAAAATATAACAAATATCTGGATGGCCTAATGGTTAACTTGGCAATGATATCCATCTTCCGTTGTTTTCAAAAGAGAAAAATATATATTACGAAATGTGTATAAATACACACAGGTATAATATATACACACATATATATTATATACATTATAAATATAAAGGTACATGGCATTTTTTTCTTTTAATTCGCTTTCCGATTGCTCTCAGTCGTAATCGCTTACAAAGGTTTAAACACCACGGTGAGGGATGAAAGACGTTGAAAACATTTAATGCAAGGATCTATAAACGACGAGATAAGTATTACATCTCGATGTATCGAATTGAACGTTTCTTGACAACAAAAAATTCACATATAACCACATGATCCGCGATAAAAGATATAATTTTATATTACAAGTATGCGCATTAGACAATTTCGATGTAAATGTAAAATATTCCTTCGTAAAAATTAATTGTTCGGCTCTGACTTGTTACAGCCATTATTATTATTATAATAAATTATGATACATTGAAACTATAATCGCTTTTACGATATTATACAGTAGCTATAGCCTATAATGTATATTATGAATATGATACATTTATTTAGCTTCAGCTTGCATCATATTTTAAAGAAAAATATTTTTTTTTTTAAAACGTCTTAGGTTTTTATTTTCCTATGAATTACTATGATTACAAGTATAATAATAATTAATAATATTACATTAGTTAAAAAAATCGATTTCATCGTACTGTGTATAGTTTAATGGATACGAAGCTTATAGAAATATTAATCAAAATTAAATGTTAAAAAAAATAATAATATACGAAAATTTAATAATACTCTAAAATCGTTTCACAATTATATTGTAAAAAAAAAATTTTGAAAAAAACGTAATTTAATTCAAACTTAACAATAATAATTCAATTGCTCAAAGAAATATAATGTCAATTATATCAGATGATCGAAACGATGTTAATGGTTAGAGGTTATTATATATAAACCTCTTATTAACTGTAATATACTAATCCAACTCAGTATAAAATATGTCTATAAAATTGGATGATATATCGAAAAGTACAATTTGTATTAATATTACATTAAAACGTTATAAGTAGCCATGGTGAGTATATAATGTAGATAATACAAGTAATTTAATTACATCGCAAATAACATTAGTGCAAATATTTTACTGTATGAAAATTATATAGATCATAGATATTTGTTTGAATATTGTAAGTCGTATACGGTATAAAATACGAATATAACTTTTTTTTCGTCATGTGAGATCAATTTATCTTGGAAATTAAATATAAGATTTAATTTCATTCTTGTTACAGTAGTTAAATTATAAAAAATTCTAAAACACCATTTTTTTTATAAGTATTTAAATTTCAAATTTTGAAGAAATTCGTCAACATGTTCTAATTATTGTGTATGTAAATATTTATAAAATGTAATATAATAGTTTCCACATCGTTTCAGTGAAAATTCATATATAATTGACATATTTTCATTAAAAAATGTTTGATATTTATTTTAGTATTATAGTTACAGATTGATTTAAGATTTTCATACTACGAACCTATTTACGCATTTTATACATATAGTTCAATGGTATGTCGGAATCTATGTTCAAGTTAATAACGACCAGAATACTATGGATAACCGATAGGAAGTAGTTCCATGTAATGTTTGTGATTCATTTTTTGTAGAAATTTATTTTATCTACCATGTTATTAAAATTAAAATAAATTATTAGGCTAACACTGCTAATACTACTTGAAGACGTATAATAGAATATAGTCGTTAAATCCGTCGAAATAAAATCCTAATATATGCAGTGTAGTATGACATGTGTCAATGTTTATCGGCCCCAAACTGCAAGTTCGTGCCAAAAACCGATTAAAATATTCAATACCCGGCGAATTACAGTATTATAACATATATCGACGTATTCATAATCCATAGGTAGAGGTGACTTATAACCATAACGATTTACGATATTTTATGGACTGGACCATATTTCGCGTGTACGATACGGTTTCGTTTCGGGCGCAACGCATCCGGTTTACACGCGCGGTTCGCTAACAACGAACGGCTTATATCCGCTGCAATAGTACCGCGTACATAATAATGATGATAATAATAACAATAATACAAACAACAAAAACACACCACTTTCGCGTAAATAGTATTAGTATACGGTAGGTAAGTACAACGTTTTAAACGCGTAATAACAATATAATGTACCCAAACGACCGGGTGTATTATATACTAAATACCCGACCACAACCGTCTGCTATCCACCGCGCTGGTTTGCCCTCACGTGGTCGTATAATAATAACGATAATAATAGTAATGATAATGATAATAATAATAATATACAATAAAAACGCGGCAGTCATGATGGTCGCGGATTTCATGGATTTTTTACTGTGGAGAACTCGTTGCGCGTATTTTCGTATAATTACACCGCTTCTTTTTATTATAATTAAACTCTCCGCGCACGGACTCGAACAAAATTTTGAATAGCGATTTATATCATTACACTGCACTCGCGGTTTAATTAATCGGGTACGCCGCGAGATGCGTTTAATTTAATATTATACTATGTTGAATTGTATCAATGAAGACGTTGAATCAGAAAAAAAAATTGAATAAAACAAAAACGCCTTTTTCTTCTACGGTGACTAGGTCATTGTTTTGGTCGCTCGGGAATATAATATTATCACTAGACAGTAATTTTTTGGTTTGTAATTCAAACGAATGGTTTAAAACAATTGTTCAGTTTTTTTAAAACATGTATTAATAATTAAAAAAAACGACCTGATTTAGTGATTAAAAAACCACATATTATCATAACGGTATTGTGTGAAACACGCTCTACAAT